CCATCCATCCATCCATCCATCATCCATCATCCATCCATCCATCCATCCATCCATCCATCCATCCATCCATCCATCCATCCATCCATCCATCCATCCATCCATCCATCACATCCATCCATCCCATCCATCCATCCATCCATCCATCCATCCATCCATCCATCCATCCATCCATCCATCCATCCATCCATCCATCCATCCATCCATCCATCCATCCATCCATCCATCCCATCCATCCATCCATCCATCCATCCATCCATCCATCCATCCATCCATCCATCCATCATCCATCCATCCATCCATCCATCCATCCATCCATCCATCCATCCATCCATCCATCCATCCATCCATCCATCCATCCATCCATCCATCCATCCATCCATCATCCATCCATCCATCCATCCATCCATCCATCCATCCATCCATCCATCCATCCATCCATCCATCCATCCATCCATCCATCCATCCATCCATCCATCCATCCATCCATCCATCCATCCATCCATCCATCCATCCATCCATCCATCCATCATCATCCATCCATCCATCCATCCATCCATCCATCCATCCATCCATCCATCCATCCATCCATCCATCCATCCATCCATCCATCCATCCATCCATCCATCCATCCATCCATCCATCCATCCATCCATCCATCCATCCATCCATCATCCATCCATCCATCCATCCATCCATCCATCCATCCATCCATCCATCCATCCATCCATCCATCCATCCATCCATCCATCCATCCATCCATCCATCCAGATTCCTCTGAGAGGAAGTTTTCTGAATGTGCTTCTTTTATTTTGGAAGGCAACATCTTTCCTTCCTGTTTACCAGACTCTGCAGTGATAATCAGAGCGAAACTCCTTAATAAAATAAAGACTGATGCAGATGAAATCATTTGTGTTTATTAATGGTTGCTTTAGAGGCGTAGTGACCTCAGTGTGAACCAAGTTATAAATCAAACACGTGTGAAATCATTTGTGTCTGTCTCCATAGGAAGATTATCAGCGACACAGAGAACATCTCGCTTGTCCTCTTTCTCCTCCCACCAATTATCTCCATCATCCCCCGTGACAGCAGCCCCCACCCCCGCCCAAACCCTCTGCCTGCCCTCTACTGCCCTGATCACACGCAGACCTTCTGAGGCTCTGATGGCCGAGCCGAGCATCAGCCGAGGAGCAGAAATGCAGTGAAATGCAACACGGAGGGATGGGGGTGAAAACAAGCCGTGTGGGTTCGATCTCAGACTCCCAGCTGACCCTGTGCTATCACAGTCATTGATTGGCTCATGTAATTCTGCTCTGATTTGGCTCGGCCAATCAATGAGCTGCAGACCGACTTTCAGTGGATGTGGAGCCATTAAAGTGGGAAGTGGAAAAGCCAGCGTAACGTTCTGCGGAGGGAAAGCGTTTTCACCGGATAATTTCAGGATCTGAGCGTGGAAGACTTGACAACTCCCAACAGGAGGACCTCAAAACATGCAAAAATCTGAAACGTTCAGGTGTCTGGACAAAAGTTACACAAGAACACAAGAAGGATATGACAGGAGGCCGGGGTGCATTCACACTAGTCCGGTCCAGTTCTCTTTAATCCAACTCCAGTCCGTTTGCAGAGAGAGTCCGGTTTGCTTGGTGAGATGTGAATGTTAATCACGTACATACAGTGGTCTTGGTTCGACTGAAGTGAACTCTGGTTTGGTCTGAATGTTTTCGACCGACTCCACTCCAACAGCAGGAAGCACACTATAAAGGGATTAGATGTTAACATGACCAGTTTTTGTACAATCTGTCTAAAGAAAGAGATAATCTGCCTTTAAACTGACCCGGTTGCCATGGTTACCCAAATTAGCTAACCATGATAAAGTAAGTTATGCTACCAAACAAACATTTGTGAATAAGATATGTCTTAATGACCCAAATGTGTTAAGTGGATAAATGACAGGAAAAACCAAGCAGTGATTGTGACTGCAGGGAATTTCCTTCTGGTTCAGTTTCTCTGGCCGGCCAAAATAAAAAACACATGGTGGTTTTCTTACAGTTCTTGGTCATCCTTACAGAAAAACTCTCATGAACTTCACACAAAAAAAATTGAACATTCAGCTGCAGCCATCAAGGCAAGTGGTAAATGAAGTAATCAGAAATCAAAAGCAATAAAAATGCTGAACGGCGGGCAGTGTAGAGACGCTCTTGCAACTTTGTAAGTCATTTTATTTGCATAATTGTAAATAGTTCAAATAGTTGGAATAATATAATCCTGCTTTCTTTATGAAAGTGACATGTACAGCACAGCGGTTGCTGACACAAAGTGACGTTGACTGAATATCCGCCTACAAAGGAGGGCATCCTGGGTAAATACAACCAAGACAAACGCTAGAATCTAGAGCGAGTAGGAGAAATGTCTCGCAGTGTTTAGCAAGGTTTCCTCCAGTGAATCATCAGCCTGGCGGGCGCCCGGCTTCATTTGCCCCTTAGCATCATTACTTTATTTTAAATAGGATCGTTTATACAAATAGATAGATAAAATAGATAAATCTAGATTTACAGTTGACGCATTGAACTAGCTGTGAACCAGTTACTCCATCGCAGCACCTGCACACTGACATCACACAATATCACACCAGATTATGATGCCATGCCATGAAACTTCAAATGTTTGTAGCATTTAATATTTCAACATGAAAACATGGTGGACTTAGCAGGTTTTCTGGGGGAAACTGAGTTTTGTTTCCATTTGGTGAGGAATGAAGCTGTGCTCAGCGTCTTCTTCAGAGGTTTTCATGTCTGCCTGCTACTGGAGGTCCTCCCTCCCACATCATCACCATCTGGAGGATCTGAGTTGCGACGGCCAGACGGCCCGTTCTGCCTGTCCGAGGTAAACCCAGCTGCCATGCACCAACATGAAGCCACTTCATTCTCTGCTTAATTTAGCCATTGATTTTTTAAAACAGCAGATAGCAGGGACATCAGGCTGAGGTGTTTTATGGTCCAGCAGCCGCCGACAGAGTGAGAGGGGTGAGAGCGAGGGGACGATGTTCCTCCAGGGAGAACATCCCCGCCTGCTGCGGTTAGGACACCCAGGCACGGTGGGACCGGCTTCCTGTCATCGTCGGCAACCATGGCTCAGCTGCTGACGCCGCGTCATCAGTGCTCAGCTGATGGAAGCACAGGAACCTAAATTTGTTTGGGGGAGGTGGAGGACACTGATAATATACCCGTAATTATCCATTTTAGTCGTTACTTTACGGCTGTGACTTCCAGCAGCAGATGGTTGCTTAACCAAACACACTGTGATGTTCCTACACTGATCTGAAATGCTAAATGCACAAACAGGATCAGCAGAAATCTGTCAGCGTCAGTAAAACTGTGAGGGAAAATCACCCGGTTTTTCTCTTCCGTTCATTTATTCAGCCATCAGTAGCTAACATCTAGAAGAAAACTCAAAGCAAGTTTCTTCAGACCCAATCATTTACATTCAGTCCAACTGATCCTGGTTTTCAACAGGAAACCAGCTGATTCTTTAGTTTCTTTATGAATTTAACTAAAATATCGCCACACAAACGTCGCCATTTTGCTTACGATGCAACACACTCTGGGTGGATGACTCACGCTAGGTGCTAAAAAGCTAGCCGCGTCCAGAAAGAAGTTATCTTTACGCATTGAGTAAAGGTCCGTCCTTTACATTTGAGCCAGAGCGCGTAGAAATATAAGATGGAGAAGAAAATGTGGGGGAAAATGAAGATGAGGAGGACCAAATGGAGGAAGAGGAGACAGCCAGTCACTGAAGCTGGTGTTTGTGCTCCTAATCGGAAAGCAGAGCTCCACCTTCAAACTCAGGCTATTGCTGGTTAGCATCGAGATCAAAACATTGTGAAAAAGATGCTTCATTGTCACTTTAAGCAACCATTTATTATCTGCCAAACTGTTTTGGTCTCATATTGACTCTAACTATCGGTGTTAGCTCCTGCTAATGTCCTAAAGTCTAGTAATTGGAGTTATCTGTTGGTAATGGTGTTAGCTCTTGCTAAGATAGTAAACAATAGATCATAAGCTGATCTATTGTTAGTTTCAACATATCTCATGTGTCACAATGCCACTTTTTATATGAGACATTATATTACAAAGACAATAACAAAATACAAGTTTTTCTCTATCTAAAAGCAGCAGTATTTAGGTCGATAGGAAAATTACAACATATTTAGGCTAATCTGGCTTTAAATGACTCAAGCCAAACTGAAGCAGGGGTGGGCACTCCTGGTCCTCGAGGGCCGGTGTCCTGCAACTCTTGGTTGTCTCCCTGGTCCAACACACCTGAATCCAATAGCTGAATCACCTCCTAAATGCAATCAAGTTCTCCAGAGCCTTGCTAATAACCTCATTATTTGACTCAGGTGTGTTGAAGTAGAGATACATCTAAAAGTTGCAGGAGACCGGCCCTCGAGGACCAGGAGTGCCCACCCCTGCCTGAAGTAAAGCCACAAGAAAAGTTATATTCAGTTAAAGTCCATCATGCGTGTCTGTGACATCAGAAGAGTAATTAGCATGCTGACAAGTTTTCCAAATCAGCTGCTCTTTTTTTTGTCCTTTTTTTGCACAAAAGGACAAAAAAAGATTCAATGGAAGGTCACAAAAGTTCCTTTGTTCATGTCACTAATCTTAAACTGACCAAGTCAGACCTCGGTCAGCATCGACTGAACGTAAACGTCAGAGAGAAACAAGGTCAGAAGAAGCAGAATCTCAGCGTCCCGCGTTTACAATGAGAGAAGTATGATTCTGGGGATGTGGAACAGAGCTGCCTCTCCACCGGCGAATCCACAACTGTTTCCAACAAACACCTTGAACCAAAGCAGAAGGATGTTTAATGTTTCAACCGCCTCATTATACACTCTCACTTAAATCCACAACGCAGAGCAAAACCAGCAGCATTACGGTCGTTCTTTCAGCCTGTTATTTCTACTGCGTGCGTTGAATCAGTAGGAGACGCTGTGGACTCACAGGCGTTGGTGACGGCGAAGCTGTTGGCCGTTTCGATGTTGTCCACGTGAGGCACCAGGTTGAACGGGGCTTCCGACGCGTTGGGGCTCGTGTTGTGCAGGAAGATGGCCAGGCGGAAGGCCGTGTACTCTTGATCCGTGTTTCTGATGAACAGACCACCTGCAGACGGGACGGAGAACGTTCACACCAACGTTTACGGAACCATTCCACCAGGAAACAGGAGCAATAAAACGACACACGCTCTGCAAAAACTGACAAACAAAATAATAAACTGTGGAAACAAAAATCATCTGCTTCTGCCTCATTTGAATGGAGGGGGAGATTTAAGGACTCCTGTAATAATTTAACATGATTTTCATGTAAAATGCTCTGCATCATTTTTTTTATTTTATTTGTTTCCATAAAAACAAAATTACAAACACAGCAGTAAAACAAGCAGTTAAGAATGAACGCCCTGTCCCCGAAGTCTGATAACTTCAGATTAAAATCAAAACCAGCGATGGGAGATGTCGGAACAACAGCAGCTTCATGATGGAAATCACAAATGAAAACACAGAAACGCAGGAATAAACGGACTGGACGCAACGAGAGAACAAGATCTGCCAAACAGGGGAGGAAACTGACTGGCTTTTAGCTGCTGGGAAGGCAGAGAGACGCATAGGAACGACTTCAACGTTGTGAAACTTTCTCTCGTATTTTTCATCTGGTGAAACGACTTTTTCTTGTCTTATCGTGATATTTCTCTGGTGTTATTTCAACTTTTTCGTCATACAACTTTATTCTTACATTAAGACATTTTTCTTGTATTGTTATAATGTTTATTTTGTATTAATATTCTCTGATTGTTTCATCTTTTGTCTTATAACTTTATTCTCGTACTGTTACAGAACATTTCTTGAATTATTATATTTTTCTTTTATTATTTTGAATTTTGGTGTACAACTTTATGTGTGTATAGTGACAGTTTTGTCGTATTATTACTAGTTTTTTATCCTGTTATTATGACTTTATTCTGGTATTATTTCAACTTTTTTCATGTGACTTTCTTCTTGTGTTATATATTTCTCATATTATTTAGATTATTCTACGAATAATTTGACTCTTTCGTTGTATGGCTATTCTATTATTACAAGAATTTTTTAGTATTATTCCACTTTAATCTTGATTTATTAAGACGGTTTAATTGTACAATTTCTTTAATCATATCCTCACATTGTTGTGATTTTATTATCATTTTATTTTGACTTTATCCTTGTAATCAAGTTGTTGTTGTTTTCCCCCAGGGTGAGTCTAATGCTTCCTGCACGCCTGTTTCTGTGTCCCTGCCCGTTTGCTGCTTGGCTGGATGAGGTGATGCCGTTCCTGCAGCATCCTGCTGGATGCTCTGAGGGTTTCTGTTTCTTAGCTGAGCGCTACGTCAGCCTGGCGCTGCAGATCAGCCTCGTCTGCTTCAGTCTTCATGCGGAGGCCTGAACTAAGCCGCTCGTGGTTGTGCAAATGTCACAGGTGTTAGAAGTGGTTTGTTTCATATTTTAAATTCAGACTTAAGGCAACATTTGCGCGGACAGGACAGTGTAAATGTCATTTAAAGCTAAATGTCAGAATGTTCTTTCATGACTGACCTCTTTGAAGAAGGTGAAGCTCAGAATAATTTACCCGTCTTTACGCTCGGTTCCGATTTCACCTGAGCGCACAGGCGACTCCTGTTGTCCTCTGTGTTTCATTGGAAACGGGAGAAAATGAAACCCGCTTGTAAATCTTAAAAGTGCGGTGCCTACTTGTGTTTAGAGCGCTTCACTCTGATCTGCCTGAGGAAAGCTAAGAGGAAGTAGTAGTTGTCTTCAAAAGTTAGGAGGAACCCAGAAGAACATGGTGGTGGCGGCATCATGCTGTGGTCCAGAACCAACCAAGAAACCATTACTAGAAAAATAAAAATATTTTAAAAAATTGAAAAAACATGAACTGTAACGTAAATAAAACTTTCTCCCTGATCCGAACCGGCCCAAAGCATAACCAAACTGAGGTAATTTAACCCAGACTATCGCTGCTATCAAAATGATTAGATTTTTATGACAGTCTATCAATATCTACTGAAAATGAAAGTAAACCTTTATTTGTGCAGCACCTTCAACATATTAAAAATATTATGTCAGCACATCCAATACATAATCCAGTAGAATAGTTTTACATTTGATTTGTGAGGTAGACAAGTTAGCTGGACTTCAGATACATTAAAATAATTTAAAATGTTTACAATTAAATGTAAGATTTAAAGGAATCAGAACATTTATTTGTAAAAAAAAAAAAAAAAAAAAAAAAAACAAAAAGAAAAACTTTCCAGCCATTACTTCCTACACTATTCCACGTGATTCTCATCTCCCTTCAGAGTCTGTCTGGGATTTCTCCCATTGACCTCAATTTCAATTCCTATTCCAGTTTAACCTATTTCTTTGATTGAATTTAAATTTAGTTTTAATCAGTGTGCAGAAGGAGGAACGATGTGAGCGATTTTCTGAACCATTTCAGGATTGCAGTCTATCGACTTTTTAATGTGATATCAGGCTATTCAGAAACTGACCCACTCTGGTAAGACTGGTGAAAAAAAGTACAGCTGGTCGCCTGATGTCACTTTTATTTAGCTGATTTCACAGTAAAAATGGTCAGAGGCCCTGATCTGCACAACCAAACCAAATTAGATTTAATCATAAACTTTTGACGAAGAAAGATGACAGCAATGGACAGCACCGGTTTATTTATGGATTTGTAGTGAAGGTTTTTTTTTTAGAAAGTAAAAAAATTTTGTTAACTAAATTCATAATCATGATTAGTAAGATCCATTCAAACAGTCATTATGGAGCATTGTGGAGAAGGAACGCATAACCATTAATAATCATTAAAGCAGGCTAAATACCGCACCACCATTTAGCCTAGCATGCACAAAAAGAACTGGTTAGCGTCTAGACTTTTGTACAGTATTAAATCTTCTCTTATGTAAGGGGGAAACCCTGTTTTTTGTGGCGTGAAATCAAGCAAAGTCAGTGATTTGATCAAATCAACAAAAACGTCAGAAGGGAGAAACTTTGGGTCGGTTTCTAAGCTAGCTAGCTACTACACTACAGCTAGCTAGACCAGTTAGCTTAACTCAAACAAGTAGTAGCCATGAATGAACTGGATAAAACAACTTAAGGAAATAATGGCCGTCACTTCCGTCTCTCTATCCGGCCTCCATCATGGTGGCTTGGCGTCGCTAGGTGACGTAGCTAAAGGTAGATACAGTTTAGTAATGGCGGCGGATGAAGTGGCCGAAGCCGGTGAGTCTGTGTCGGCATTTAAAAGTCAGAGCGATATTGAAGCTCTTGGAGGTGCAGGTTGGCTGTTTGCAGCACATTTCCGGTTAGCTACACAGCTGAGCGTCACTTAATGACCTTTAGCGACTGGATAAAACCAGATCCGATCACTTCTCTTCGTTTCTCAACACCTGATGGTCCAGATCTTCTGTTCAAAGCGCAGAAAAACCGGGTGGCTCACTAGAACCCTGCTCATCTGCAGCCCTCTCTCTCTCTCTCTCTCTGGACCTGAGGGCTTGTGGGTGAAGCCCTCAAGCGCTGGTTCTGCTGGGAGACTGATGCGTCTTCCACACGTCAGGATGAAACAATGAACTGAGCTGCTGCCATTTGACTGGCCGAGCCTCTGTGTGAAGGTGTGTGTGTGCCTAATAAAGTGGCCTTCTTTGGTTCTGAAGAGGCTCCATGCACGGTGGAGGACCTGTGATGCCGGACCGTTTTACAGACCTGGATTCTGCAGAGCCTACCTCAAACGACCGACTAATAATCCAGGTTTTAACTAATAATCCAGATTTTGTTCCAATGTGTCATATTTCCTAAATGTTTAATTTACAGATTATGTGTCATGTGTCACATTTTCTCTTGATAGAGTTATTTATTTCTGTTGCAAATGCACAGAGGCATGATGTCAGAGGAAAGATGTGAAGCTGCGTGCGTGTTGTGCGTGTTGCGGGGCGCAGGTCAACCTGGGCCGACCGGAGGTTGCATAAGCCGCGTTATCTGGCAGCGGTTTGGTTAAACTAACGTTAAAAACCTCCGATTGTGGGTTTAAGCAAAAATATATATGTATAATATGGACGCATGCACGCACTTTCACGCACGCACACTGGTTACGTAAAGCTGCAGCCGTCGAGGTGACGCTCTGCAACAAACCCTGAACTTTGACCTCTCCTCTCCCCTCCGGCGGGTCGCTCTGGCTGCTGCGGCTTGTCGTTTCCCTCCAGCCTCTCTGTGGTTTGAAGGTTTGTTCCTGATTTTAGAGGTGATCAACAGCTGGAGGTCACGCGCTGCCCTTCCCTCTCTAATGGCAACCACAAAGCTGTCACCTCTCTGCTCCCAGCAGGAGCTGCAAAGTGGTTAAACTGGAGGGAGACCAGTGGGACTCACACACACAGAGAGAGAGAGTCACAGTTTACCGCTGTGATCTGCTGCAGTGGCAGCCTGAACCCGCAGATACAAAGCGCATTAACCCTCCTGACTGCATCCTGGAGGAGCAACCCGAGCACCGCCGCAGCCGCATGCGGGACGGTCCACGCAAGCGAGCCGCACTCACCGATCTGAACGCTGCCGGGGAAAGCTCCCATCGCGAAGCCCGAGAACATCCACAGCATCCAGCCACAGGGAGAAATCCTCATCTTGGTTCCGTGATTAACTGAAGAGAAGCATCGAGCAGATCCTCTCCCCTCCTAGGGCAAAAGCAACATCCTAAAGAAGAAAAAAAAAAAAAAAAAAAAGCCACCCCAAAATAAATCTAAAGCAAAAAAAAAAAAAAAAATCTGCAAACAGCGTGTTGTTGCGGAGAGCAGCGTGCGGGTTAAACATCCATGTCCGCTCCGGCGGCGGCTCCTCCTGCGTCCCCTCAGTCCGGCGCGGGAGATTTTTGCGCACAACAGCACCAAGATGAGGAGCGACGCGGAGAGGACAAGGAGGATGAGGATGATGAGGAGGAAGAGGAGGAGGGGAGGGGGCGGGCATCAGCCAGCGGCGGGCAGCGCGTCTGGATGCGGCGCAACTGGCAAAGCAACTGCAAACACACATGCGCCTTTTTTTTGTGTGTCGTCCCCCCCCCCCCCCCCCACCCGCACGATACCGGCGCAACCCGGAGAGGCGGCAGACACAGGGACCCCCCCCCCCCCCCCCAACACACACACACACACACACACACACAGCAGGACCCCAAACTTCCTAAACTGCTGACATCAACACACCCAAACATCCTGGACGGACCGGAAACATGCGGAACCGTCAAAGCACACCGCGAACAGTTTAGGTTTTTGATCCAATAAATAAATACATTTCAACAATCAGAAATGTATTAATGTACTAAAAAAAAAGAGTAAAATCTCCAAATCAACCCGAACCCGAGTGAAAAGTATTCACACCCCCTTGTTTTCCTCCCATGTTGCATTGTTATTAAAATCAGAGCAAAACACAGAAATTAGTTTAAAACCATTAAAAACTCTAAGACTGATTTTAAAAAATAATCTAATTTGGATCGTGTTGCAGGGATGATCGTTTGTACCAACTGAGCCTCGTTTAGTTGGTAAAAACTAAAACGTTCTCTGACTGTTTTATAAAACTCACCAGGAAATGGTGTTAAATACAGAAAATCACGTTTAGAAATGATTATTCCAACATCGTTTTGGCGCCCCCTCCAGCGTGGCGCCCTTCTGGCTCGTTGGGACGCCATAGCTGTATTTCTTTTTAGATAGCTGTGTTAGTATCACAGTTTCCTAGAAAAGTTAATATCAGTCATTTGATTCTAGTTTTAACTGTGAAATAAACCACTCTTACCACTCTACACATCACAGATCTACATTTTTAAAACTCAAGAATGAAAATATTTTATTAACCAAACAGGCACAGCAGAAAATGTTTGTGTTTACAGACTGTTTGGCGGTTGGTGATAACAATCTGAGCTTCAAATTAAAAGCACTTTTTAACATCCGTCTTCCTCACGTCGTCTTTCTTCTGTTTGATCTCCTTTATTTAACCAGATGAAACCCCGCTGAGGTTTCTGAGACGTCCTAATTAAAGCAATGAGAACATGTGGCGTTAGTTCGCTGCTCCACACAGATGATGATCTGAGAGATTTCTAACCTTCAACATTCATCCCCATAAGGAGAAAACAGAAAGAAAATCCTTAATAGAAGAAATTCAGGCCAGACTTTATGCTAACTGAAAGGAACAATAAAACCTTTGCTCTGAAATCTTTTGTCTCAGAACACTAACTACATGCAGCATGAAAGACTGTTTCACTCCACACCAAATTATTGAAAAATACAAAAAAAACTTGGAGCTAACCGAAGAGCGGTCCAATAAAAATGTTACTACTGCTGAAAACCACAAAGAAGACAACAGGACGCAGTAGGAAGCTGCGTGAACAAACTTATCCACATGTAATTTAAATTGTGTCTTTTATTTAATTGTAATTGCAAAATTGTTCTTTTTTTTCCAACATTAATGGAATAGCGATAACATTTTGCACACACTTGTGAAAGAAACGCACTGAGGCGTCAAGGAGAGACTGAATGGAGGAGGATCCATTTTGCTTTGAAGGGAAACACATTTTGCAGTCATCAGCATAAAGAAACTGAGTCATGCTTTCTAAACATATCATCAAGAGGTGATAAATTAATCATAAAGAGTAGAGGACTGAGAAGAGAGCCCTGTGGAACTCCCCGAGGGAGAGGTGAGATCCCAAACACTCACTGGAAAACTCCAAGATCATTTCCTCTTGTGTGAAAACAACTTTCTCCATTCCTTTAGCAATAATAATCATAAAAAAAATGAAATACATCAGAAATATTTCTAAAATGACCAAAAACCGAAGGATTAAAGCCAGATTTTAGAGCGCCATAATTTACCGACAGCTGCTTGTGTGGAGAAAATCAATCGATTATCACGAGCTTGAAAGGATAACAGATTAACAAATACAAAACGATGGATGTCACATCCATCAGTCAAGTATGTTTTATGAACATGTGTTAGTTTCTCAACATTAATGACTGTTTTTATATGGAGTTCTTGAAAACGTTTTCTCAGGTTCAGCTTTTGTTATTTGATTTTCGTTTAACTCTAATGACCCTGCAGTAGAGCAGATGATGATGATGAACATCTGCAACGCTTTTATGGAAAAAGGAAACAAAACGACCTGAAGTTTGGTGAAGCTGTGGATGTTTCCACACATCCAGAACCAGAGGAGACGAGTTCTGCTCATCACCACATGTTCCCGGTGTTTCCAATGAACTCAGAAGAAGGACAAGAAACGCTTCCTGCCAAAACGCGGACACTTCTCCTTTAAGTGAGACATGTTGGTCTGCATCTGCAGATTGAACAGCATGAAACTGGAGGAGGAAGTGTGAGGCAGGAAGTGCTGAAGCTCGGCACCGGTTCTGCTGATCCGGAGGTTTGCTGTTCCCTGCAGGTGGAGAACCTTTTCAAAATTAGTTATTATGAGAGAGACAGAGAGAGAGAGAGAGCTGGAGGTCGGTTTGGGTCTATTCCCCACTTGGAGTTAGGAAACCAACAGAATGATGGATCCTCCATTTGATCCAAACAGACTGGAGCCGTTCTGCATGGTTTCAGTTCGTTTTTCCTAAATAAACAAAATGCAAATCAAAACAAAATGGTTTATGATTCATCTTTGAGAAACTACAGCACAAAAATAAAATAGAAATGTTGAGAGGACATCTGAAAGTGAAGTAGCGCTCTTGCCACCCTGGTACTGATCCGATACTGATACCGACATATTACCAATGTCATCGATCGATCGCCTCTGCCGAACCGAACCGTCTGAAGACTCAAATGGTTCTGAATGAGACGGAAACGAAACAAAGTGGAATCAGAAACATTACAGATTCATCTATTTAGTTTTACCTCCAGTCAGACTGAGAGGAAAACTTTCAATAAAAATCCAGCATCAAAGTTTTGCTTGTTTTCGTCCTACTGAGTCTCCAAACGACTCATCATGTTTGTATGTTTATGACGTCACCAAGCCTGGTGTTTTGTCAGAGTTTTGTGTTGCTGGTTCCAGTTCTTAGAGGAATAAACAGCTTAGACGGAAGACGACAAGAAACGCCTATTTGGCTTGTTCTGAAAGTCTCCTAATGCCGCCCAGACTAAACTTTCCAGGAGCTGATCGATAGAATAAATGTTTGCAAACAAGTTCAGAGCAGAAGTGGCGGATCAGCAGCTCCATGGCGAGCGGCTGCTGCTGCTTACAGAGAACAAACACTCCAGAAGTCCAGGATTCGGTGCAGATTACTGCAACAAAATGCAAACACCTCGTTTCTGCTGCGCGTGTGCTTTTATTCTGAAAGAAGCGACAAACAGCTCAGCCACCATGGCGTGGGGTCAGAGGAAGCAGCAGCTCGTTGCACGTCGCCTGGTTGCTCTGGACCAGCAGAGATGCTGGAACCGAGGCGGTCTTCTTCACTCTTGAAGCCGTGAAGAGGAACTTCCTGCAGACGCTCCAGCTCCTCACATTAGAGGGGAAATTGAATCTGCTGTTCCAGCTGCCAGGTTGGTGCTGAGTGGCGGTGCAGCTGTCAGAGCGCATTTCAGAGGTCTGCTGTGACTGAGCAGCATGAAGCAAACACATTTATCAGGACGACAGGCAGACATCTCCTATGAAGTGGTTTGCCGACACAAGCAGCTCTGAAGCCTCCTTACTCTGATTTATGGAACGACTGAAACTCGAAAAACAACAGAAAACTCATCATCTGCTGCAGAAGGACGAATATATAATATTTAAAGTGTGGCTGAGTGTTTCCCTCCACGCCTGCACACACACACACACACACACACACACACACACACACACACACACACACACACACCACACACACACACACCACCCACCCACACACACACACACACACAAATATTACAAAACCGTGAGGCGTTCGTGGGATGTAGTTAATCAGGGTTTCAAGTTCAGTTTGCTAAATGAAGCTAACAAACGGGAGGGCTCCGTTTAATATAGTAAAATGTATATTAAAATAAAAGTTGAAACCAAATCTCCATTCATTCTTGTCTTTCATGTTTGATTTACTATTTTAGATACAAGCTAGCATAGCACTGCAGTCCAGCTGGCTGCTAGCTACCGGACGCTATAAAAGTTGAAGTTTAAAAATTTTGCCTGCATATCCTGGTTTATTATTATTAACCTTCATTAAGGTTTTTGCAGCATTGAGTCAAATCCTGTGAAAGCCACGTGGATGCTAAGGCTAGTTGGCTTGCTAGTATAAGCATTTGCAGGTTAGCCTACTTCCAAACTGCACGACCAAAGGCGCTTCAGAGCAACTGAAGATAAGAACAACTTCAGACATTTACGAGAGATTTTGCTTAAATTCACTGAAACAGCAATAAAATAGTATTTAGCAACTAATTAAAAAGAGCAGCAGCAGCCAGATGCACATGGACAACGCCTCACTGGCATGAAATGACTCTGCAGGAATGAGTCTGTTCGTTTGCATCTCAACTTACAATGAATGAACTGAACCAATGTTCATTTGGAACAAACTGGTTCTAAATTAAAGCGTCTAATTTGGACCAAATTAGCTTAAGATGACCCATTTTTTATGTCCACATAAACCAAATTAAATGATGTATTTTTTTTTAAAGAAATGTCTTAGAAAAATGTAAAATGAACTCATAAACATTAAAGTGCCTCTAAGAATGAGGCATGTGAGTGTGTGTGTGTGTGTGTGTGTGTGTGTGTTGTGTGTGTGTGTGTGTGTGTGTGTGTGTGGGTGTGTGTGTGTGTGTGTGTGTGTGTGGGTGTGTGTGTGTGTGTGTGTGTGTGTGGGTGTGTGTGTGTGTGTGTGTGTCCCACCCACCCTGAGCTCTCTGATGGATGACAGAAATCCCGCTTCATGAGCGCCACCCTCAGGTCACTCAATGTAACAGCAGTTCGTCAGTGGCGACCTATGCCGTGCCACTGCCTCACATGACAACACAGAGCCAATCAGAGCAAAGTGTACAGGTAAGACGTGAAGGTGTT